TTTTTTTTTTTTTTTTTTTTTTTTTTGAGGTGGGGGGTGTCCATGCTTTGTATTGAACTCACAACGCCAGTCCGGCTTGGCCACTGCTCTACTATCGAGCTACATTCCCAGCCCTCACTTGTCTTTTAGTGTGTATTCTTTTTCTTTTCCTTCCTTCCTTCCTTCCTTCCTTCCTTCCTTCCTTCCTTCCTTTCTTTCTTTCTTTCTTTCTTTCTTTCTTTCTTTCTTTCTCTCTTTCTAGGCAGGATTTGACTCTGTAGTTTGGGGTGGCTTTGAACTGACTTTGAAGCACCAGTTAGCCTTGAATGCATAATTCTCCTGTTTGAGCCTCACAAATCCTGGTATTACAGGCATGTACCATGACACCTAGGACTCACTTGGCTTCTTACTAATTAATTAATTAACATTTGAAAAATAATAGAAAGGCAATAGATAAGACATTGGAAATGATACACAATTTCATAGAAAAACCCCAAGATGATAGGTATTTCTTCAACAGTGGTTGTTATGTTCCATATTGTTGTCTTTAATGCAGTTGTTCAGATTACCAGATATAAACATGTAAAATGGGTCAAAGTAAAAGTTATAAGCATTAACTCTTACCTCAAAAAATCAATAGAAATTAGTAGTACAATCATCTTACATACATGATATTTTTTCCTTTTTCCTCCTTTCCTTTATCCCAATTGTTTATCCCTTTTCTTTGGTTTCCTTCACTTTTGCTATATCTATTGTTCTTTTCAGATTTTAGTTACTGCTTCATGTTCTTACGCTAGGGAGATATACAATGTTTACACATGTGGATTTGATTTGATTTCACTTATGAGGATAGCTTCTAGTTGCATCCATTTACCTATAAAATTGTCAAGTGTATCTTTCTTTTTTTATGTATTTAGGAAAGGGTCGACAGGGTCTACAGTCTACAGGGTCTCACTACACAGATCAGACTCATAGTGATCCTCCTGTTTTCAGCCTCCCAAGCATTGGAATTACAGGTATAGCCACCACATCCAGCTTCAGTCTCTGGCTCTGTGCACCCCTGGGGTGGGGCCGGCACAGCAGGTGGGGATTGAAGTCCAGTCCCTGTGTCTGCCTAAGCTGACTGGCACTTTAATTGACTGAGCTATTTGGCAGGTCCTTCTATGCCAGTGTATTTCTTGTAACTGGTGAATTGAGGCCATTTACATTGTTGGTTGTAACTGATTAGTATTGGTTTATCTTTGTCATGTTATTTCCCTGTTGTTGGTTCCCTACTTTTGTCTTGTGTTTAATTACTTGTTTTATGTGGTGCTTTCTTTTTCTTTTTAGAATCATGGCCATTTTTATCTCTTTCTAGAATACTATTTAGTCTCTTGGTATGATTAGTTTGGTGGTCATGAATTTCTCTAGTTGTTCTTTGTCATAGAAATATTTTACTTCTCCATTAACTTTGAAAGATAGTTTTGCAGGGTACATCAATCTGGATTGGAAGTTGTTTCCTTGCAGGGCTTGAAATACTTTATTCTAAGTTCTTCTTGATGGTGTGTGTTGAGAAATTTGCTGATTTTGATGGGCTTTCCTTTATATGTAATCTATTTCTTTTTCTAACAGGTTTTAATATGCTATTTTTGTGCTGAATTTCTGGATCTTAATTATTATATGTCTGAGTATAGGTCTCTTTTGATCGATGCTGATTGAAGTTCTATATGAAGTTCTATATGCCTTACTCATATGTATGTCAGATTCTTTCACTTGTGCTTATGTTTTCTGTTCTTACTTCTACAAATAGCCTTTTTATGTCATTTGTATCGACTCTTACTTTTTCATAGACACCGATCAGTATTTTTTATTTCTTATTTTATTTTTTAAAGAGAATTCAAAGTTACAAACAGAAAAATTACAAATGATAGAGAATTTCACGAAACAAAATAATATGAATTTCACAGTATTCATTGTATTGCATAGCGCTGTCTTCAAATTAGTTGTTCGTATTACCAGATATGTGCATTCAAGATTGAAAGAAGAAAGAAAAAATATGCAAGAAAGTAAGAAGAGACAAAAAGAAAAAAGAATTGAAAAAAAAGTTGACAAAGGAAATTAAGGATTAACTGCTCCTTTCCATAGACCAGCAGAAATTCACAACACAGTTGTCCAAACCTTACTGCTTACATACATAGATATATCTCTTTCCCCACCCCCTCTCCAGGAGTGTCAATATCTACCAGCCTTATGTGGTTCATCTTTGCATCATCTTGCAGCTGTTGAATTATTACTTCCTGGTTCCTTGTTATTTTCAAGAGATCTTTCTTTCCTGGTTGCTAGCTGACAGATGTCTTCAAGGTTTCAAAGTCTAACTTCAGTTTCATTTAATTTAGTTTTGCCAGACTTCAATGTAATTTTTAAATTTCCTGGATATATCTTTGAGACTGTCTCATGCATTGCATTTCTTTCTGATCTTATTCATTCAAGGTTTCCATCACTTTTCTTTTTTTAACGTATTTAGTACAGGGTCTATAGGGCCTCATCCCACAGATAGGACTGACTTGTAGTGATTCTTCTGTTTTCAGCCTCTCAAATGCTGGGATTGCAGGTGCACACCACCACCAGTCTCAATCACTGGCTCACTGTGCCCTGGGGGCAGGGCCAGCATGGCACACTGGGGATTGAACCCCGGTCCTTGCATCTGCCTAAGCAGTGCATCATTTTTCTGTTGCTTTTGTTTTTTATTCATTTTGGATAGTACTTCTTCATCACAAGTATGGTTTAAAAGTATTTTCTCTTAATCCATGGAGTGTGACTTCATTCTATAAATTATCTCCTTTTTGTTAGATGTTTCAGTTTGATGTAATCATTTTACTGTGGCTTATGCTTTTGATTTTTTAAAAAATGTATTTGATACAGAGTCTACAGAATATCACTACACAGATTGGACTTGTAGTGATTCTCCTGTTGTTAGCCTATTAAGCACTGGGATTAGAAGCATGTGCCACCATGGTCAGTCTCAATTGCCATCTCAGTGCGCAGCAGGATGGAGCTGGTACAGCACACCAGGCACTGAATATGGGGTGCTGTGCTCTGCCGAGGCAGGCACTTTAGTTTGCAGAGCTATCTAGCTGGCCCTTTGCCGATGATTCTAGACTCCTACCCAAGGAAACATGACCCAAAATATTTCCCAGAGATTTTCCCTAAGTCTTCCCCCCATGTCTTTCAGAGATAAGACAGGACCCAATAATTTCACTCTTAGGTGTCTATGCAGAAAACAGGTATTCAAGCAATACTTTGTACATGAATATTTATAGTAACACTACAATAGTCTAAAATATCCATTTGCTCATCATCTGATCAGTGGAGAAACATATGTGGTGGATACATACAATTTAATATGGTTCCGCTATAAAACCATGAGCCATTTCTAAAGCATTATGCTAAATGAAAACAAAAGATCACTTATCTCATTATTCCTTTCATGCACGTGTCTATATTGACCAAACCCTGGTGCCAGAAAGCAGATCTGTGTTGTTGGGAGCTGGGGGATGTGAATGCTCACTCAGATGATGAGCCCTTCAGGACAAACATGTTCTGAAGCTAGCAGGTACAAAGCAGCACACACTGGGGATCTAGCAAATGTCAATAATCTGTATATGGCAAAGTGTAAGTTTTATGTTACATGAATTTTATCTCAATAAAATATTGATAGAAATTCAAGAAAATGCTTCTCTTTCTTCTTCAACACTGTACCATTGTCTCCAAAGACAGAGTAAAAGTTTGAAATGTTTTGATCTAGGTATTTTTTTCTTGTGGCCAAGACAAATCACAGATCTGTGATATTTGTGTAAGAGATACTTGAATCTGGTTCTTAAAAGCTGTTTTAAACATTTCTCAGAATAAAACTATCATTTGTTTACTTTATGGTGTAGGATACCTAGAATTCAATCATTTGTTGATATATTAGACAAGAGCAACGTTTTTGCCAGTGGACAACCAGGCCTCGTTCCTCTCTGAAGACTTTGGTCCACATTTGACAGTGTGTGGTGTGGCCTTCTAGAAGAGGGTGGATTCTGGATGCATCCCTGAGTTTGCACAAGGGGATCTCCTGGGAGTCTACAGTGTAAAAAAGACATTGCCTTGAGGTCCTGGGCTTTCTCTCTGACCTGCTGATTGCCAGCTGGAGAGGGAAGGAAGAGGAATGATGTTCTTGTGACTCACACAGTCAGCCATACTCAGCAGGGCCATGGGGACCCTGACTAGGACTTGGCCCCAGATGCCCCTGTGAGCTCCCCACCCAAAGGAGGCGCTGTGACCATGTGTGGCCATGTGACTCTGCGAGTTTGCACTAGGGCTGATGGGTCCCCCGGGAAGAGCACATCCCGTAGCCTGTAGCTCATGACTAGGGCAGTGATTTCAATGTATATTTGCAGATTTTTGAGGAAATAGACCTTTTTGTTATAAAATATGTACACTACTTTGAATTCTAATGTAACTTCATACGTAATTCATATCTGCATATAAACCATTTCTTTATTTTTAATTCATTACGGAAAATGAACACATTTCACTCAACTTTGTAGCAGGCCATATGCATTTTTTACATCAATAAAATTCATTTTCTTGGGATAAGGTGTAGACCCATGCTCCATGTCTCTACTACACTGAGAGAGAGTAGTGTAGACTGTCTTCCCACCCCGTGTGCAGTTACACATACACACCTTCACAAGCCCAGCCAGAGAACCTCCTGGGTGCTGTGCCTGCAGTTCATAATCCAGGGTCCAGTGTCTTTAGAGATGAGCTCTTTCTATTAAAATTCACCGGGGCTGGAGAGATGGCTCAGTGGTCTAAAGCACCTACTTAGAACAAGCTTAGCAAAGCACAGGGACTGCAGTTCAATCCCCAGCACCACATGCCAGCCAGCCCCGCCCCCTGGTGGGCTGAGCTGGCCACACACACACACAATAAATAAATGTAAAAATAAATAAATAAATAAATAAATAAAATAAAAAATAAAATAAAATAAAATTCACCACCTAACATTTTGATTCTGAGCTGCGCATCAAAACCCGCCTCACAGCTGCCTTCACATCCTTGTTCCGCAGGCTGTAGATGAGCGGGTTCAACATGGGGGTCAGCACAGCATAGAAGAGCACCACCACCTTGTCCTGCTCAGCGGAGGCCCTGGAGCGGGGCTGCAGGTAGATGAAGAGGGCCATCCCGTAAGACATGGAGACCACAGTGAGGTGAGAGGCGCAGGTCTCAAAGGCTTTGCAGCGTCCCTGGGTTGAGCGGATCTTCATGATGGAGGCTACAATGTGCACATAGGACAGAGTGACCAGGCAGCAGGGCAGCAGCAGCACCACCACACTGGAGGCCACGATGACCACCTGGTTGAGGCTGACATCTACACAGGCCAGCCTGACCAGTGCCATTGTCTCACAGGCCACGTGGTTCAGCACATTGTGCCCACAGGTGGGCAGGCGCATGGTGACTGCTGTCTCCACAAAGGAGTTAGCCAGGCCCACAAACCAAGGGACACTTGCCAGGGCCACACAGAGCCGGGGCCTCATCACTACCATGTAATGCAGGGGCTGACAGACGGCCACATAGCGGTCGTAGGCCATGGCAGCCAGCAGCACAAACTCGGTTCCCCCGAGGGCCAGGGAGAAGAAGAGCTGGGCCCCACATCGGGCGAAGGAGATGGTCTTCTTCTCCAGGAGGAAGTGTACTAACATCTGGGGGACCCCGCTGGAGGTGTAGCAGATGTCCACGATTGCAAGATGGCAGAGGAAGAAGTACATGGGCAGGTGGAGTCGCGTGTCCCTGGCGATCAAGAGGAGGATGATTCCATTGCCCAGCAGGGTCAGCAGGTAGGTGGCCCCAAAGAGCACAAAGAGCCCAGCCTGGGTCTGTCTGTCATCCGAGAGCCCCATTAGGACAAACTCACTCACCCAGGTCACGTTGTCCCTCCTCATGGAGCAGGTGGGCCGGGCCGCTGGGCTGGGGGAAACAGTGTCAAAATGGGCAGGGAAAGGACTCACTCTAGGGGTCTTAAATTAATCACCCAGCTGGGATATGAGGCAGATCAGGGACACTGAGGCTGGGTTCTTTGGCCTTGATGACTGGAGGACAGTGTCGTGGAGAAGCTGGAGAGGGGCCCAGATGGCTCTGACTCTGTGCCCTTAGGTTCTCAAGCGTGACTTTCCTGCCTTGGCTGCTTTTAATGTCTGTAGAAGTGGACAGTTATGGCAAAGAGACAAGAAATCAGAATAGGGGTGGGGGAGACGGCTCAGTGGAATAAGTGCTTCCCTGGCAAGCGCAAGGGCCTGAGTTCAATCCCCAGTTCTGCAAAAAAAAAAAAAAAAATCAGAATAGAAAATGAGTGGTGGGGAAAGCAGAAAGAATGGAGGAATGAAGGGAGAATGGGAGAAAGGAAAGGAAGGCACAACTGAAGCAAGGAAAGCTGGAAAATGGGAAAATGAGGGACAGAAGTGGAACACTGGGAAGGAGGGAAGGGCCCTCAAGGTGGGCTTGCCTCAGGCACAGTGCTGTAATCAAATACATTGGGCACAGAAGGAGGCTGGGGGCTCTGGGGGTCACTTCCAACCCCTGGATTCATTGCTCTTCATGTTTCCTCAGGCTGAGTTCCTCACTGTCTAGAGAAGAGTCTCCTCCACTTTCCCATCTTCCCATTTCGCCATCGGTCCAGGTGTTAGTCACATCCTTTTTCACCAGAGGTCCTGCTCCAGGTCAGAAACCGAGCTGAACTTCAGGTATCTGATTGTGAGCAAGAAAGCCAGAAATCAGAGGGCTCCAATTATCTTGGTTGTCCTAATTTCACTGGAGGAAGAGATTAAATTAAGAATTACAAAAATACCAATTAAGGTAATTGCGTTAACAGGGAGAGGAGGAAGGCTCGTACTTCTCTAATTAAATTTTAGGCTTTGTAATTAAATTATCACTGTAGTTGTTTCTTACTTCTCAGGATGGTACACTTCATATGCCGAGACGGAAGCAGTTTTTCAGATGTCCGATAAACTGAAAGTCAAGTAGCAAGAAAACTTGGAAAGTAATGGCGCTTACCTTGCCCAGAAGACAAGAAGAGACGGATGAGGTCTTAACCTCCATCAGGATGGGTGCTGGTCTTTCAGCAAGGGTAGCTCTGGGTCTTCTCCCTCGCAGGTTGCTGACTAGCCTTCTGGAAACATGAGATTAAAGAAAATCAGTATTTCTTCATAGCAATATTATTGCTGGCATATATTTGGCTCTCAGAAAAAAAAAAATTAGTTGGTCAATATTTCCTGGACAGACATATTTATTTATCAGGGATTATGCTTTTGACCCAACTCCAGGAAATACAACCTCTCAAAGTCATGAATCTCTAGAAGATCAGCAGCGCCCCAGAATCTAACGAATGTAAAGCTTGGTCCTTGGTGACAGTCTATGGGAAGCCAGCCAGGGCATGCATGTGCCTCCAGTGAGGAGTGCCTGCATAGGAAACCCGAGTAGCGCCACAGAGGTGACGGATCTCTGTGCTGCAAAGAGTGGCTGCTCCCTGACTGTGGGCACAGAGCAGTCTCAGCCTCCCATCAGCCCTGCTCTCAGATAGCCAGAAGGTGTCACTGTAGAAACTGGCTTTGGATTCTCCGGGGCAGGATGCATTTGCGGGATCAGAAAGGAGATGGCCAGGCACGGTGGTATATGCCTGTGATCTCAGCACTTGGGAGGCTGAGACAGAAGGATCACTGTGAGTTCGAGGCCAGCCTGAACTACATAGCAAGACCTTATCTCAAAACACCAAACAAAGAACCAACTCAGTGTCTACTGACCTAAATGTGTTCGAGCAGTGGCTGCCACTAACTTACTGGTTGAGGAAAACAAACAAAACTGACTTTTAATGGGCCCTTAATAGTCAACCCTCGGATCAGTACTATGTGAAATCAAAAAGAAAAAAAAAAAACATGAACAGACATTACTTGAATGTCACATCAGCTGAACCCAGCCAGCTTCTTATGGAAAGGAGAGAAGGACCTTGAGATGTTGCAACATAATTGCTTAGACATCATAAAACATCAAACCGAGGTAAGACCAGACCCAAGAAAAACTCCACTCCATGATGAGGTCAGATTATTCATAGATGGATTTTCCCAAGTAATAATAAATTCATAATGATAAAAAAAAAAAGAAAGGAGATGGCAGGAGGCTGGGGCCCTGAGCACTGCCTGGGAGCCTGAGGCTGCCCTCAGAGCCTGGCCCTTGAGTGGGCACAGGAAGTTCATCAGTGTGGGTCTGCTGCCAGGGGTAGGTCACTTGCTACTGAAGATATAGTCCTCACCTTCAGAGTTGGCATCAGGGAACAACAGTCTTTCCAGACAGTGACAAAAACTGCTGAAAATATAAGTAGCTACGGAGGCCAAACATTCTCTCTTTTATAAACAAGGGTCCCAGGACACATGATAATTCAGGAGTCAGATGTACCTGGATCCAGCTGAAACAAGGCTCAAGACTGCATTCACCTCTCATCTCTCACTGAGCCCATCTATGACAGGCTGGGGGAGGTTTGGGCAGACCTGGCCTAAAAAGAGGCATCTGCGGAGTCCTAGAGGGAAGGCTCCGAGCCGCTGTGTTGCCTGGCAGAGGAGTGCACTGTGCTGAGCAGGAGGCGCTCAGAATGGGAAGTCCAGGGGTCTGAGCCCTCGCTCCTCTCCTTCCTTAGCCTGCTGCGGCAAGGACTGAGGCTCAGCAGCTTCCTCTGAAATGCAGGAATAGTAACTGGGCTACCTCACTTCTTGTGAGTGAGATCAGATGAACAAACACATATAAATGTGCCTTGTAATACAGTAAGTAAAGCTTGAGAGGCTCTCGTTACTCTGCGGAGCCAGGGTGCATCATGGAGGTAAATTGTGTAAATTAGGTCCAGCAATATGCGAACCAGAAACAATATAAACAGGAGCTCTGTAGGTGAGAATGAAGGGAATGAAGGTGCAGTGTTCTCATCTAGTGGACAGGACAGGGCTCTGCATACAGAGCCAGCTCTCCACTCTTTTATGCCAATAGAGTTTTGGTATTTTTGAGCTGATAGAGAGTTTTTATTTATAAGTAGCCTTTGTTATAATTAGAGATTTTATTCCACATATTTTAAACACCTGGAAGCAAGTGTCAGTCTCAAATTGGGACGCAGATTATCATGGGTCCTTGGTCCAGGAGCTAGGGCTGGAAGGGAGATGGAGAGGCTGAGTCAGCATAGCCTCATCCGAGAGGCTCAGAAGCAGCCGGATGATCATTCTGTAAGTGCGCACAACCTGTCTCATTATGTCAGCGGGGAAGCAGATTCCTCTAAAGTGGAAAAGAACAACAAACAGGGCCGACCCTTGTGGACGTGCAAATGCAGACTAGGGTGCGCTAAGACAGGGAGAGCTGGGCTTCAGCCGGGTTAAGGAGCTATCCATGCACTCTGGGATGCGTCGCTCCGTACTGAAGCCGGAGTTTCTTCAGCTGCAGAGGAGCAAGTTGGATGAAGTAAACATGAGGAATTCTTGGAGCATTTAAGATTGGTGTTGAGCAGATACACAGAGAGAAGCCATCATTTATGGCTTTACAAGCACAGACATTCTTAGGGTTTTGATCAGTCAGTATGGGAAGCTAGAGGATGAGTAGGCAATAAAATATTAAGGGCCAGTGGGCTTCAGCACCCGAAGATCCGGAGCACACACAGAACTGTTTAACGGTGGTGCCGGTAGGTAAAACTTGAAAATTAGGTGAAGGGAATAGGGAAGTGGGCTGTACCAGCAGAAATGAGAAAAACAAGGCTGACATGCATGTGGCTATCTGATACATGAGCCTTTTTCCTACGCCTCACTGGGATGATCCCTAACAGGGAATTTAGCAGACTAGGGATAAATCCTAACTGTTCCACAGGAACGGTACACCTTGACCGCTGGTAATATCCACCAAGTTCTTTTTCAAGAGAATGTGGAGGTCTGTATGTATTTTGGTTCTCATACCAGTGCCAACCTTCTCCATTCTTTCTTGTGTTCAACACTATTCAGGTGCCTCAAGACTACGACTATAGCTTCTCCCTTTTGACCTCTGGCCTTTCCTGTGGAATATCTATCTACAGACACCGGTCACCTCAGCTGGACGGCTGCCTGCCTGCCTAACTGTGGGACCTTCACTGCATGAAGCGAACACAGGGAGCTCCACCACGACTGCCATGGAAGGAGTTCAAGCAGGCTCTCATGTCGTCAGCGAGAAAAGCACAGAGGAGTGCCCAAGGGCAGCCCTGGCGTCACCCAGAAGATCATGTCGCTTCCTCTCACCTCTCTCAGCTCTCCCTGCGGGGCGCTCCCCTGTGCTGCGGGCTCACCTCACTCTCAGGACTCCTTTTGGCCAGGAGGCAGCCGACTGCCTAGGAAAGCACTGGGGCTGGTTCTCCTCTTTCTGGGTGGCGATTTCATCTGCTAGTCTTGGCTGAGGAGTTTTAGGAGCCCGGGAATCTCCCAAGGGCAATTACCTGCGCCTGCAGAGTTCCTGTCTCGTGTCCCCACCCCTAGCTCCTCTGCAGTGCCACCTCTCTCCCGTCCCCAGCTCCCTGTGGGAGCAACGTTCTGAACACAGTTTCTCCCAACTTTTAATTGTTCCTTCTGTTCCTGGGCTAATGAGCCCTTTCTCCACTCTGTGAGTCTTACCCTTCCTTCCAGGCTGTGACATCGCTGGGGACCACGGAAGAGTCAGTGGCAAAAAGGTTTACTTCTTGGATCTGGGGGAAATGGAGTGCAAGGAATCTGGAGGAGAAAGCGATTAAATCTCAGAGCTGGTCCTGCCCCCTAGCGGAGGAAGTTGGAAACACTTCCCATCCTCCAACACCTCAGCTGGGTGAGCGAGGAGTGGCTGATAAGCATTTCACAGTGTTTGTGTGTGTCTTTCATACACAAAGCTCTATCAATTTGGCAACACATTAATCTCTTCACGTTCT